TTTAATTTGAATAAGCTATTATAAAATAATTACAAATAAATAAATTAAATTAATAGTGATTGTTAAATTTGTGTAAAAGTATTGTAAATTTTTAAACATCTTTAAACTTTTTGATTTATAGTGTAGTAGAATTCCAGTTAATATAATAATTTTGTATAATAAGGCGAAGGTGTATAATATAATAATATACATTATATATATTATGGAATGTTAATACAGGGTGTTTTAAAATTGTCTTTACAACTTTGTAGGAGAATAAAAATTTATTCAAAGGACATGCACAAATTTAATCATATACATCAAGTTTCATTTACATAAACTTCTGCACCAAAAACTCCTACTGTAGCACGATCAGCCAGTGTGAAGATGGCTGTTTTCACAGGTATGGAGTGAGCTTGTATAGTTTGGTTTGAAGAAAAAAGTCTACTACACGGGTTTAAAAGAATTTCTGTACTAAGTATTGCATAATGAAGATGCCGTGGAACAAATGGAAGTCACATAGAGCCATAAATAAATTGATGGATGTTGAAGTGTTTACTACGTTTCAATGTTCTAAAATTATGTGTTTCTTCTATCAGTTCACTAATATTTTGTCCTCAAGTTGTAAAGCTATTTTTGAAACATCCTATATAAGCAGACAGAATTTACATACTATTTTAGATGTTAGCAGTTACATTTCTTTGTCTTTAATGTATAAAACTTATTAGGAAATATTTTTTTTTATTAATCTACTTATAGTTTTTGTTGNAATTTTTCGAAATAAATTATTTGGGAGAGTAAATGTACAGGGAATTATCCCTAGATGAATATGATTTAAATATATTTAAACCAGTTTAGATTTTAAAAAATTCAGAAGAAAAGTGATAAATTGTTCATAAGAATCCATGATTTAGTTGGCTTTTTCTAACACAAACAGAACACATTAAGATCATGATTATTAAAAAAACAAAATGGCAGAACTAACTATAATTAATTTACTAAAGTTCTAGAACTGATAGAAATTTCCAATTGTTTTTGGAGATTGTTTTGCCATTTAATATTTATAGAACATTCAATGGTTAAAAATATTTCATGTATTGAATTTTTAGGAAGAGTTTTATTTTAAAAAAGAAGTTACAAGTTCTGTAATTTGAATTTAGCTAATTAATTTCAATAAGGAAGTTGGAAGTGAAACTTTTATTACTAATTCTTAATTTATTAGAATTTAGTGTATTCTTAAGAGTTTATGAACTTACACCTCATGAGAAAAGTAATGTTAAAATTAAAGTAAGTAACATTTAAATTTTGTAATAAGTTCTACAAATAATTTCTTTAAAAAAGTTTTTTTAAAAAAAGTTATATAAGAATTAACAATTAAAATTTACAAATTGTCCTTTTCCATTTTCATGAATAATTCAGACTTTGCAAAACAATTTTATGTACTGTACACATTATGCTGAATTTGGGAATGTTGCTCGTTTCGCGAAATAGGCAAAAAAAATTGTGAAAATTTAATTAATGGCAGAATATTAATTAAATATTTAAATAATTGGAAAATGAGTTTAAGAGCCAATTTAGTAGATTGTCAATATTCTTTCCGAATTCACAAAATTGACAGTTGCGTCAAGTGATATTCGCACAGCATTGTGGTAAATCTGTGAACGCGTGTCTGTTTACTGTCATTTTGGAGTTTTTGCTGTAAGTACTTATTTGTTTTATTACATATACTTAAGCGCTAATGTAGCATTTAATGTTACATGTTTGTAATAAACATCATTAGGAAGTATGAAATATCATTAAGTAATCTTTGATACTTTCATTCAAATCTCTGCTTAATGTTTTCTAAGCTGTAATTTAATGAGTGAAACAGAAGTTGGTATCTCTTTGGAAAATATAAAATAGCAATTTTATAAAATAGGTTAATTTTGAATTGTCTATTTTGTTAAATTTGCAGAAAATTGTTTGGTCCATGAAAACGACAGTCGATATGTTGATTTTGCATCATTACACAAATTTTTTGCCTATTTCATGAAATGTGCAACATTCCTGGATTTCATCTAACCGACACAAATATATTTATATATATATAAAATTGTAACTCTGTTAACATACCAAATTATTAAATTATTTGTTTATAAGATTTGATGTATTTTAAATTTTACAGTCTTATTTCAAACTGTTTGCTTGAACAACTAGAACCACATTACATTTGGGCTATAATAAGATTAATTAACAAATGATTAAACAGTATAATTTGGTCTAAACACATGTAGTTACTCACTGTCTTGTATTAAATTTGAATTAGATGAGTTAATACAGATGGGTTCAGAAGAAAAGATTGGCCCAAAACAACTTGCATTATCAGCTATGCTACCCAACCTTCACTCGATTATATTAAGTTAGATCAGTGATTCCCAAAGAGTAGGCACTATCACTCCCTTCAGGACAGTAGAAGGTTCAAGAGGTCTTGGATGATGAGGGGAGACAAAAATTTGTTTTGAAATGAAAAAAAAAAAATATATATATATATATATACACACACATAGAACATCGATTATCCAAATACCAATCAACTGAAACATCGGTTAACTGAAAGCGTTCCAGTCAGCAAATTCAAATTTCCGATGATTCTGTGGCGCTGAAATATTTGGCTATGTCTTGGGCTACTCCAATAGTATTTTTGGTTGGTGCGCGTAATTTAGCCGGCAGCACTAGCACGACCGTGAGAGGACAACAAGATAAAATAACTTGTTGTTGTTCTATGGGTACGGTACGTTTGTAAAGTCAAACATTAGTAATGAATCAGTCAAAAAGTAGTAGTCTTGCTCAGTGTGCATGCTCTGCGGTGATGAAGTTTCAAACGAAACTAATGAAGCTCACGAAAGAGTTAGTTCACTTTGTTAAGAAAATGGTGCCTGACGATATCGATATTTCTAAATCTACTCAAGTGTTTAAATTGTGAATTAAAAGGTGAAATGATAGATATAACTGTCTACCAGAAGCAGTTTAAGAAAAATATTTTGGATAAGACTGCACTAATGTGAGAACTGAGAAGGTTAGTTGTCCCCAATTACCGGTGGCTCTGTCAGAGGATGGCTTTATAGGAGGGCAAAATGAAATGAGTGGGGAGGTCAATGAGTAAGTCGACAGGTTTCCAAATAAATACACAGGTTGAACAAGAATAACACATTTAATAACCAACTATAAAATTATACATATCAAAGGCAAAAGTGAATAGCTACAGAAATTCTATTCTACGTTGTGACAATGATTCGTCTTTCTTATGGAACATCTAAGTTCTATTCTCTAACTTAAATTAAGAGACGAGAGAGAGTATACAAATAGATTTCTTAAAAATACCTCTAAGTTCCCGATCCATAATATNATTGTCTGTCTAACTTGTCTAATCCATTATTATGTTCAGACTAGTATAAAAAGGAGACACAAGGGAAGTCAAAAAGTTCATGTTGAAGATGTGTTTAAAAGTGAATAGCTACAGAAATTCTATTCTACGTTGTGACAATGATTCGTCTTTCTTATGGAACATCTAAGTTCTATTCTCTAACTTAAATTAAGAGACGAGAGAGAGTATACAAATAGATTTCTTAAAAATACCTCTAAGTTCCCGATCCATAATATGGGTTGTTGGTAAAAACGTTTCCGGATCAGCATGGCAGTTGTGGTGATGGATAGGGTGGCACTATGGGTCAGTTGATGTCACAGTCGATGTCCCCTGCTGATGTCCGTCTGGAGATGTCCACCTTGTGGCCTGCGTCCAAGCCCTCTTTATACTATTTTTGAGGGGTGAGAACTGTCAAATAGTTGATGATTTATAAGAACACCTGTCAGCTGTGTCCGATCTATATCCAGCTGGTACGGAATGTTGCCGACGTATTCTTTGGTCGGATCGTAGACATTGGTCTACTAAAGGTGAAGTTTTATGATATAAATTTTTATGAATTTGACAGTTCTCTCCCATTAATTATTATATATTTTGACAATATCTTCTCAGATTTGACAATAATCTCTAGATTGTTTATATTACATATTGCATTAGTCGACGAGAGAGGCAATTATTATCATGTTGTTTTGGTTATTGTGCAGGTGTCTGCAGACATGTGCCATGTGCAGCTAAAGGAGGGATGAGAAATGCCACTCATTGGTTTCTTTTAAACGTCTGTTCTTGCCTTGTTGATTTTATTGTCGATCTAATTTATTGGTATAGACTGTGACATTTAACCTGAGGAAAGAGTTTCGATCATTGATTGTAGACTATCCCTTTTTTTCTGTAGAATTATTAGTGTTAGGAGGAGAACAATACTGCTTTAAACAATACAAAAAAAAAATGGGGGAGAGCAGAATATCACACTAGCAACATTCATATCTTCGATTTTAGAAACAGCCATTTGGTTATAAATGAATCAGTCAAAAAGTCTACAAAATAAGAATAACGATGACGTCATTCTCGTTTAACTCATTCGACTTTATGAACGTACACTATTTCATTGATAGGAATGTTTTTGATACTAGATTAACTTCCAAAATATAATTTTTTTTGTTTTTATATTTTTTAATATATTTATTTTGTTTGTGCAAAATAAAGAAATAATTTTTAACGATACAATAATCATGATTATTATTTTAAAAAAATTTTCGTTAGGCGTAACATTGACGAATATTCAATGCGAAGTGACACATAATAGAGAAAAGTTTCAAGATGGGATTGGTTAATATATTTTTTTGTACATGATTGGTTATCTGAAAAATAAGTTATCTGAATAACCCCAGTTTCGAATTGTTTCAGATAATCGATACTCTACTGTATATATATATAAGAAATATATGCACTAAAAGGAAGCAGTAGTTTGAAAAATTGTAACAAGGAAATGATGATGGCTTAATCGTCATCTTAAGGACAAATTGCATTGTTTAATCATTTATTAATTAACCTTGTTACTGCCTGAATGTAATCTGGTTCTAGTTTTAGTAATTTTAATTTATCAAATAAACTTTATGATTTTTATTCATTTATCTTGAGCATAAAATTGCTTGCCTGAAAATTTGAATAATTTTATTAAAGATACTTAAGTGTAAGGCTTTTGGCTTTATATATTTTCTTTGATTATATTTATCTAATATTAAAGCATGCTTATGAAAAGTGCATCAATTTTAGGATGTTAAATTACTCTGCATGTTGCTGGCATGGTCTTTTTCATTGTAAGAATAATACATGCTTAAATATTGGCATATGGTACAAACCAAGAGATAAAATTAAGTGATGTTCATAATGAAAAAAGTAAGTTGTATACATTTGTTAATAACTTTAATATACTTAATTATCTTCTTGACCTGTATGTGGCATGTTTATTGCTTTTCTTTATGTCTAATTATATTTAAAGTGCATAAGGCTAATTTGAAATTTAAAAGATTGAAATGACTTATATATGTTATTTAACGTAGAGCCATGGGTTTCGGAAGTGACGTTCGTACCAAATCTTCTCACGAAGCTTTAGTCACGCTGCAGGATGCAGAAATTCGTCTTCTGGAGAACATGAAGAGGTGTCTCGCTCTTCGAATAAAATGTGATCGAGAGTATGCGATAGGTCTGAATTCTGTTTATATTCATACTCAAAAAATAGATAAAACATCTGAAATGCTTGGAAACAGCATGATAACAAGGGTAAGTTATTAAATAATGTATAGAGTTCTTCACTGAATAATTATTTATATACAGGGAGACTATGCAAAATATACAATAAGATACAAATGTTTTCACAAGATAAATATACAAATATAATACATTATCAAGTGATCAAATGAAAAGTGTACTAAATAGAAGGTAAGGTGGCTTGCCAACACCATGAGACAGCCATGCTTGTTATGACCACATTACACATTGCAATAAATGCTTAAATTACGAACATTTATTTACTAAAGACCTTACAGTTATATCTCCAAATCTACTTTTCACAAGGAAACTTTTCATTTGATCACTTTGTATGAGGTGTGTGTATATGTAATATTGTCTGTCTAACTTGTCTAATCCATTATTATGTTCAGACTAGTATAAAAAGGAGACACAAGGGAAGTCAAAAAGTTCATGTTGAAGATGTGTTTACAAGTATATCTTCAACTACTATAAATTAAGAGTGTGTTAGCTATAAAATTATAAAATATAAGGAAATTAAATTAATAGTGATTGTTAAATTTGTGTAAAAGTATTGTAAATTTTTAAACATCTTTAAACTTTTTGATTTATAGTGTAGTAGAATTCCAGTTATCCAAGGTTTCACATTATTTGAGGTAAATCTGTGAGTGAATATGCTACTATTCTCACAACTTATAAAAACTTTGCTGTGAATGCACCAAGTGTATAAATATGGTAGTACTTTTAACCTCAAATGTGTGGAGTTAGTGACTTTTATAAAACTCCACCCTGTGGGCACTAAGAAGGCCTTTTTTTTATATCCATTGCAGATTCAGCAAGACTTAAAATGAGGGTGGTTAGGTGGCAAGGTACAGCCCTCAATATATTTGGGACAGACTGCCCATGAAAAATAATGTTGAGATGACTATAGAATGTTGTGGAAAAGAAGAGAGGAACAAAAAATCTAAAGGATTTTTTAAAGGAAGTTTGAAACAAAAGTGTGTATTAGAAAATGATTTGTTTCTGCTATCTTTTATCATTTGACTCCAATGTGAGTCAAATTTGTATTAAAATTTAACTACAGTAATACACATTTTTATTCTTAAAACTATTATACATAAATATTAGCATTATATAATATGATATAAAAATGTTTTTATTATGTAAGATTNTATGTATTAACTGTATAATAAATGATGTTCATATATATATATATATGTGATTAAATTCATTAAGGCGTAAAAAGATGCTCAAAAGAGATACCATATAAATCTTTTATATTTGTAATTTTTACTCCAAAATGACCGTGGCCATCCATTTTACCTGAGTTTTCGGTTATCTGAAGTAATATTGCTCCACTTTACCTCAGATAATCAGGGTTCAACTGCATTTACTTGAAAAGAATATAAATTATTTGGGAATTGTGTTTTAATGAGTCTACTGTCGGAATCTTCATCAGACACTATGAAAAAACTGGTTTTATTATACCTGGATGCAGTAATGGCAGATTGCCAATGACTACTATCAGGAAAGACTGAATTTTGAATTGGCTTGTCATGATATATTACCCTAGTACATTTGTGGATGTTGCAGAACTATGGAACAAACAAATAGGTCAACCTGCATCTCGACAAACTGCTAGCAAGAGGTTACGTGATGGGTTACGGTTTGTACAAGAGTAAGCGAAAGTCTGTGTTGACACCAGTACAGCAAAAAAGGTGGTTTGTATGGGCTGAGGACCACTTATCTTAGACGGAAACTCAATGGCAGAGGGTTATTCAGTCTGAAGAGTCATTCTTTCCAATTCTATATGGAAATATTAGACTGTCATTTGCTGGCTGAATGAAGAACTCGCTCAAAACTCTGTGAAGCAGGAACTCAATTTTTCAAGCATGGTTTAAGGGTGGGGATATTTCGGGCATTCTGGCATTTGTTATTTGGTTTCTTTATGATGGGACTGTCAATATGCAATGTTACCAGACAATTTTGCAACAGCATTTACTGCCTTCCATAGCCTATCTTTGGTTGCAGGGACATACAAGAATGCTTTCAGGAAAATATGGAGATGCCTGTTACAGTGACTGAGCCAATTTTTTGTAAACTCTGGCTCAAATAGAGTACTTTTTTATTTATTAAACAAATTTTATTTCAAATGCAAATGAGTCCAGTTTTCCTACCATTTATAACAATCACTAATGGTGTGCACATATATTTATTGCCATGGCGAAGGTGTATAATATAATAATATACATTATATATATTATGGAATGTTAATACAGGGTGTTTTAAAATTGTCTTTACAACTTTGTAGGAGAATAAAAATTTATTCAAAGGACATGCACAAATTTAATCATATACATCAAGTTTCATTTACATAAACTTCTGCACCAAAAACTCCTACTGTAGCACGATCAGCCAGTGTGAAGATGGCTGTTTTCACAGGTATGGAGTGAGCTTGTATAGTTTGGTTTGAAGAAAAAAGTCTACTACACGGGTTTAAAAGAATTTCTGTACTAAGTATTGCATAATGAAGATGCCGTGGAACAAATGGAAGTCACATAGAGCCATAAATAAATTGATGGATGTTGAAGTGTTTACTACGTTTCAATGTTCTAAAATTATGTGTTTCTTCTATCAGTTCACTAATATTTTGTCCTCAAGTTGTAAAGCTATTTTTGAAACATCCTATATAAGCAGACAGAATTTACATACTATTTTAGATGTTAGCAGTTACATTTCTTTGTCTTTAATGTATAAAACTTATTAGGAAATATTTTTTTTTATTAATCTACTTATAGTTTTTGTTTTAAAATAATATAAAAAATAGTTCTGATATTATTCAAAATTCTTTGAAGACTTGGAATGTTATAGCAGAAGAAACTGGAGCCTTAAGTAGACTGATGAAACAGAATGCTGACTATTTAGCATTGAATACAACCGAAGCATTAAATAATTTCATTACAGAAAAACAAGCTTTGAAAAAATTATATGTCGACGAACACTCGCGCATGCACGGCGAACTTCAAAGAGTGAGGTCTTCTTTGATAAAGATTTTTACCAAAAAGATTCATATAATATCTGTATTAAATTATGAATTTATTGTATTTTTACAGATGCAAGATGGAGTTATCAAAACCAAGAACAACTACGAAAAGTATATAGATTTATGGAAAATTGCTAAGAAGAAATATGAAGAACAATTTTCAAAAAGTAAATAAAATAATGTTTATATTTAATATTTGATGAAGTAAAATTTATCAAAAGTGTGGTAATTTTTTAACAAATAATGTAATACTTAAGCATTGGTATATTCCAGTATGCATCAGTCTTGCCCACAACCGATGCACCGGTGAATAGTTTGATAATCTTTTACCAGAATATCTGACAACCCAACAAGATGGTGGAAGCAAAGATGCTATATTGGAATTTGCAGACTTGTTTTGTCAAAATAACTTTGGGTTGATACAGACAAGTAGTAAAAATGGTGTTAAAAATATAATCACGGAGGAGGCCTTATCACCTCATCAGAGATTATCATATCGGCAGCCTGACGAGTGCAATGTGATTCGATGACGAGTGCATCGGTTGATGAACCAACAAACTCGTCAATGAATATTGGAACACATTTTTGTACGTTGCAGTTCACCGATACACTGTTTGATGCATACTGAAATGTACCATTACCATTTTCATCAGTACAGTGGGTGATCAGTTAACGAACAGATCGCATAACGAACAAATCGGATAATGAACACTTTCGCGAAAGATTTTTATGTTTGGACAACGAACACATGATCGGATAACGAACACCCCACAGAACAAACACAAGAAGAAGCGACATAAATTAATGAATACCGATTGGTCTTTCCTTGTCTTCGGGCAACAATTCGAAACTTTTCGGAGTGTGGGAGACGTCGACATCGACGCTCAAGTCGATATCTACCGATCGGATATTATTCCTCCGAACTTTGAAACACTTCCTTGTAATTTCAGCCTTTTATTTTTCTGACAAAACAATTATTTTATGTATTCGTGAGACTGTCGGGTAGGCACTCGTTAAGTTTTGCGTCGGTTTTTCTTTTCGAAAGGTGAGAGTATAATAGCAAAGGTAGAGAGTGGGCAAAAGATGCCTAATGTTGCTGGGCAGTATGGCGTAAACAGGTCTACAGTAGGCTGAAGTTCAATCTTATTTAAGAAACATACTGTATAATCAAGAAGACTCAAGCAGCTAAAGGAGTAACAAAAATCACATCTGAGAAATAAAGAATATCGAACAGTTCATAATGGAACACGAAATGGATCTGACGACAGAAGAACGCCAAGAACTCTTGAATGAAGAACACCAAGAAACTCGGCGAGATATGTTTTCTTCTGAAAAAGAGGATTAATGCCGATATCTTATATTAAAGATCCTTTGAAGAAGTGGGAGGATGTCAGAACAACGGTCTTAGAATGGCATCCAAACCAGGTTAAGGCTTGGGGATTTCTGCAATTGCAATGCTATTAATTACTTACGAAAAATCCTGAAGAAGAGAGAAAAGCAATCGACATTAGACAGATTCTTTAACCCTTTCAAACAGAAAAAAAACACGACTAATAAAAACGCAAGACTATGTATGTATGTATGTATTTTTATCATCATCAATACATATAAATAAAGGTAGTAAGAAAGTATATATTTTTTTATTTTGGGGGGTCTCCAGAACCAATTAATCTATGGTAACTATGAAACCTATGGTAAATCGATAATCAGTTAACGAACAATTCGGATAGCGAACAAAGTCTTGGAACGGATTATGTTCGTTAACCGATCACCCACTGTATATCATTTGCTTTTAATATAACATAACATTCAAGATATGTGATGACGAGAGTCTAAAAAAACATTTTATCTTATCTAATAAAGGACTCCTTATCCTCTTACCAATTGGTGTGTTTAATAATAATTATATTACAATATGCAACTATTTTCATTCTGTCAGAAAAAATTTGTATAATTTATATTAAATTATAAAAAATTGTAAAAATTATAAAACATTTGTATAATTTAATATAAATTATACAAATGTTTTCTGACAGAATAAAATGTTTTTTGAGACTCTCGTCATCAGATATCTTGAATGTTTAAAATTTTTATGTTATGCCAGGAATAGCTCTGGAATATATGTTTAAGTTAGTTTAAGAGAGCCAACGATAAGACAGTCTCAGAAAACATTTATCTTAAAAGGGCTTTTTATCTTCTTAGTGATTGGTATGTTTAATTTTTTCCCTATAGAGTCAGTAGATGAGCCTACAGCAGTAATAGCTAAAAGGAGGCATAAAATAGCTTTTGAAATAATTGTACATTTACACAGAATTGACAACAAATTTGTAAAACATTTTTTTTTTCATAACATCATTTAGTTTTTTGTAATATTTACACTTTTTTAGTTCTTGATTTATGTAAGTTAACTGGAAAAAGTATAAATACAAACTAAAGCATTTTGTATTTAAGTCTTAATTATTATACAAATTTATATACAAATGTTGTGATAATGAAAGTGTACTGCAAACTAAATTCTTATCACTAGTACAGTATTATAGCAATAACATAGTGGTTAAAAATTAACAAATATTAGATTATACAATGAAGAGTCTTCTATGTCCTTGTTCAAACCTGTTATTTTCTTGAGCTGTGAACAAGGACAGACGATTCTTCATCGTATATTCTAATATTTGTTTTTTACAATTATTTTTCCTGGCATTTTTTATTAAATAATATAATGATTGTTAAAATATGAATTATTTTTAAAATAAAAAAACACACATTTATTTCTCTTATACCCTATTCACATTGTATATTTTAAGCCAGCATAAATGAGTCAGCTTAAGCAACACAATGTGAATGAAACCGACTTAAAGGTTGATTCAACTTGAGTTTGAAAAAGTGAATCAGTTTAATTTGCTTTCCAAAATGAGCTTAATTAACTTGGTTTTTGACATCATGTTAGATAAAACATCGATTAGAAATTATTTATATTTTAAATTACTTAAAGTAAATTAATCTATAATAATTTTTCAAAAATAAACAAAACTTTTATTTAAAATGTAACATCTAGTGTAATTGCTGCTCGACAGCTGTGCAAAATGAGTTGCTTTAAGTGTGACAAATAGTTAATCTTGTTACTAACTTGCAGCTGCTGTGTAAAGTAACAAACACACTCAAGCAAACTTAAAACACAGCAAAAATTTTAATAACTAAAACATTTTCAATCGTTAATCTTGCTTTTGGTAATGCAACTTAATTTAATTCGGCTTAAATATTAATCCTACATAAAGTTTACAGTGTGAATAGTGTTTACTCATTTGTCATTTTTAAAAATAACAAATGAGTAAGAGAGTTTTTCAAATGTTTAATTTGTTAATTTTGAAAATAAAGTTTTATTTACTGATTTCTTTTTTATGAAGTTGCAAATGAGGATTTTTAAAATGGTAAGATATTTATTTATTTGTAGTTAGATTGTAATACTAAATTAATCTAGTTTAGTAAGAAAACACAAGTTATCATTATATACAAATTTTAAAATTATCTTCTGTAAATATAGCATATTAGATGGTTTTAAAAGTTCCTATAGATAGATCTTTATAATTAATTTGTGTATGCTTTTAATTTTATTGGAACAAAATTGATTCATAGTATTATGAGATTGGAGGGTCGGCATCTCTTCGATGCCTTGTCAGGATGACACCATTGGATCTTGCTTGACCTGGAAGCTGAGACGGTGATTTTGAAATAGGTCATGCGAGTGGCCACGTTACTGAGCGATCTGATTCCAGATGGAGTGAGAGAGAGACAGCACACAGGAAGTGATTATGCAGAGTAGGGTAACAAAATAACGTTTAATAGTCATCTAAGACATTGAATACAAGAAACATGTTCCTCATTAAAGAGGGATAATTGGCTTCTGCAGTAAGAGAGAGAGAGTTTATATTAAAATATGTGGTGATAGATACTTGATGGATTGGTCCTTTGGTGATTTCCGGATTGGGTACTTTCTGTGATCTTTGGAGGGAAAAGTTTCTTTGGGCGTATAATAAAGTCAATTCGCTATTCAGGTAATCCAAGGCACTCATTAAGGTGTCAGTAATTAGGTAATCCAATCTGGGATCAAAAGATGGAGTAGGAGGCGATAGGCACAAAATTCCACTCGGGTAAGGTTTAATATCAAAAAACGGGCAACTGCACCGTTGTTAGGACGAAGGACGACCGTCTCCAAGATCGGTCTGTTGCTATATTCAGTTGACAAATTTGCAACCATAGGTCGTGAGGTTATGAGAAAGTGTCGTTTTAGTTGCTGAGAACTTGTCCAGTGATTAACTCCCAGGTGTGAAAGTTGACAGTAGTTTAATAAAATGGTATAATAAAAAAATCTAGGTCAAGGTCATGCCATAAATAAACAAGGCTGAGTCTCACAATTAGTATGTTTGAGAAAGAATACGATATTTTTTTTTACCTGTTGTATAGAGTCAGAATGGTCAAAGTTGTATAGCTTCTTTTGTATGAGTTTACATTTTGATGTACACCACTGTTTTTATTGGTATCCATTTCTGATTGGCTTTAGATCTTGTTTAGTCTTTTCCATTGAATTTCTGAGATTATGCTCCTCAAAAGATATCACACTTTATTTCTTTTAATTATTCACATATATTTTATTAAAATAAAGTTTTCCTAATTTAAAAATAAAATTGTAGCATCATTTTCAAATTATATATTGATATTTAAATGCAATATTTTGAAAAGCATGTATAGTTTTTTGCTGACTTAATCACACAATATTTGGTTACAGAAGCCAAACTTAAGACAACTAGATTTATTTTTTGAAGTAAATAAAAGTTATTACAATTTTACTTTATGGTTAAAAGTTTTAAAAAATTTCTTACTAAATATTCATAAGACTATTTGATATGACTTTCTCATACAGTCATGCATTCCTATATATATTTAAAACAAAATTTCCTTGAAAAATATTACTGAAAGCTGTATATATTAATTACAGTTAATATAAAATACAATTAACATATACAAATAACATAAAATTTTTCTTATAGTTGGAAATGTTAATAGTGTCTTAACACTATAAATAAAATAAAAGCATAATTTTAAATTAGAAAATATTCTTAAATTTAGATACTTAAGTTTTAAATCCATATCAAAGTTATTTTAAATTTATATTTGAGGAATGTGGCATCTTTTGTGAATACGGTAAACTTTTGTCAGATTAATTTGTTTATTATTATTATTCTCGTTCTTCTACGTAGGTAAAGTGGGTAAAAAATTGGATGAAGCTCGCGAAAGATATTACAAAATTGCCAAAGAGCTGCATCGCCTGCATAACGATTACGTTTTGATGATACGCGAAGGGATCGAGTACGAACGGCAACTAAAAACAGTTTTGCTTCCCAGTTTATTTGAATATCATTATACTGTATTGCAAGAATCTGTAGATACATGGTAAGTTTCTGTTTAGGTTGCAATTAATAATCATAAAAATTATTTATAAAATATTTTTATTCTTCTATATAGGAAAAATATTTTAATGGAATTTGCTCAATACACAGATTTTTCCAATGAAACTTTCCAATCTATTCACATCAAAATTCAAAAATCCATTGAGTCATTATCGGGAGAGGATGAATATAAAGATCTTGGAAATAAATTACAGTAAGTTTCTGCTTCTGTTTTTCTGTAAAAAAATTGTAAGTAAATGTAATTAAATGTAATTTTATACATTTTTTTCTCAAATTATTAGAGAAAACATTAAAAATAAATTGATTCTAATGGTTATTTAGCTTTGAAGATCTGTCACTTGAGTCTGTATACTGTGATGATGGATATGTTTACAGTTGAAAGTGTTAATTATTTGTTACAATGTGACTTGCCAAATCTTGTTAGTAATCTTGTTAATCATGTCTGTTCTTGACATGACAGTCCTTTATGTATATTTTCCACCAAATTACTGATTGGTATGCACTCTTTACTTATCTGCTTTGATATGATATTCAGTATTCTGCTATGATTTATAACTAAACACTATATGATACTGATAATTTTTCATTCAATCTGATACCTACTTCTATCCATAAACTATAGTTGTCAACAATAAATGAAAGCTCATTGGTTTAGAGAATAGACTTTGTGGATGGTCTATTTTTATTTATATTTCTCTGGATTATTAAAGACCCTTATTAGGCCATTAAAAACTTATGTCATTTTTATGTTTTGGTTTAAAAGCACAAGCATTTCTAGTTTATCTCTGATTAAATGAGTGTGTTGTCTATGAAAATGTTCCCTATTGCTCAGGGCTGTGGAGTCGGAGTCGGAGTTGTGGAGTTTTGGTGTTTTGGCCGGAGTCAGAGTCATCAAAAAATCTTCCGACCCTTTTTACTTACCAACTTGTTATGTATATGAAACAGAGTCGGAGTTGGAGTCGGTAGATTTTTACATGACTCCACAGCCCGCTATTGCTAAATAACCACTCTGGTGGGGACACTAGAAGTGGTGCAGACAGGTATTTTCTTTCCTGCATTTTAATTGGATTATCTTTCTGTGACTGCCACCAGTGGATCATTTCTTTTTCTGAAACAGTATATTGGAAGCAGGTTTCCTCGTGCAATCCTTTACCATCTCTAGTTTCCCACAAAGCAGCATCCGCCAAAAGCAACAACAGCTATACATCACATGGCCATGAGTGGCAAATGATGTGGAAAGAGGATGTTCTGTCCATTTTGGGTTACTTCTACAGCTCAGTATGACCAGTGCTCTGTTTGAATGTCTGCCAAGGGTAAACAATGTGAAAGATGCATATTAAAAAAAAAAAGATCAGAGCATTGGTTTATAAAACAAACTGATTCAGATGTATCAGTTATCATCTTAACTTCTTACAACAGTGCTTCAATAACTTGAGTTTTATAAATATTCCTCTAGTGAAATTACTAATGTTGAGAGCATTTTTATGCATTTTGTGAGTCCATTGATGGCAAATATTAATGAAATATTGTAATTCTAGTTTTCTTTGTACATTGTCAATGCTTTATACAGTGCTGTCTTGTACTTCAAATTTAATTAATTTCAGAAGGCTGTTTAAACTCTGAATTGATTGAAGTTTGAAGCAATTTTTCCCATTAGAAATAATGGAAAGTGAATTATTTATTTCCAAATCATAAACAATAACTATTTTGACAAACATAAATAGCAAATATACATAATTTAAAAGTAAAACTAATATAAATAAATAATATAAAGTAAAACTAATAGTTTAATGACCTAAATAATAAAGTAAACATGAAGAATAAATAAAATACAAATACTGTATTAATAAAATGAAAATTGCATTTAGTGGTCACACACCACCAACTTTGACATCTTAAACAATGCTGCCAGATCTGTCATACATATAGCACTTTTGTGCTTTGTAATAAGTTTCTTAATTGTCAATACTATAACCTACCTGTTAGGCTATGTTTCTTCCACACTTTTTTGGATGCCATGTTTAATAGGTAGGGGTTATATATATATGTATATCCAAACACACCAAAAATAAAGCAAAAAAAGCATTCAAAATACTTCAGCATAATGCAAGAGATGCTTTAACAGCAGGCACAATAAGTTGCATTTTCCTATTATCGAGACAATTGATTTGAAATGTTTCCCAAAATAATTCCATTGTAGATTTTAAAACAGCAAAGATAAAAGTTATAGAACACACTTTGTCCTTTATTTTATACAGTTGAACATTAGTTAACCATACATAATTGTTTTGTATACAAAAAAATGTGGATTTAAGGATATTTTTTTAGTTCAGCAGTGCATTGAAGTTTACACTCTGTTGTTTTAATAAATGAAACTAACAAATAAAATGTGTTACGTGTATATTTTTCACAAATACAGATGCCTATGAGTGTTGACAATCATTACAAATGCTACTGTCACCCAACATCCATTACATGGGTATCTGCATTCTTGTCTGATGTTTAGATTTTGAGTACAAATTCACTGAGTACGGCGTTAATAAACTTCTTTAGTATTCACACAAGTACTTTCGATGTTTGTATAACCGTCGTCATCAGGCGAAAAGAACAAGTTTTTAAGAAAGCGAACGTGCAGGATGTTCCAAAAGAACATAATATTTAAATTCAAACAAGCGTCCGGAAATTTCGTTACGAACGTGCGAATAATTTTTGATATTTCGAATCTTTATATTTTACGATGTTAGCGGCGCATGCGTGGAGATGCTACCGCGTTTGGCGATACGATGTTGGGCGCATTTCGTTTTTTTAGGCGCCGATACAAGGCAATCCACACCCCGGGTAGATCGAGGGTGGGAAATTTCCGGACGCTTGTTTGAGTTTAAATATTATGTTCTTTTGGAACATCCTGCACGTTCGCTTTCTTAAAAACTTGTTCTTTTCGCCTGATGACGACGGTTTTACAAACGTTGAAAGTACTTGTGTGAATACTAAAGAAGTTTATTAACGCCGTACTCAGTGAATTTGTACTCAGAAGCTAGACAAATATTGGCGTGAGTTATTTAAATTTATTTTTGTCTGATGTTTCTTGCAGTACACTGTAATACCATCTTTCAGATTCTAGTACATATTGTACCAACATGAAAGTGTTAAATGTAGGGCTTAAATGTTTTCTGGTCAAGAAACCACTGTTAATATGACTATCAAAAACTATGTAAGATGGTGTAGTTATTGCAGAAATCATAAAAATGGAATTTCTTAAGTTGGGTCCTTCAATTGTTTTTCTTTACAGAACAAACTATTTTAATAAATAAAAAAAAGCAATAAAATCGCATAAAGATTTCATATAATTAAGAAATTTACTCAATTTATATTATTTTAAAACTAGTAAATATTTGTTAATCAAACATTTTCATTATTACATTGCAATATAATTAAAGATTTTCCTTGATTTAGAAAAATCCTTGTTAACTGTATTTTTGAATTTTGTCTTTGCTTAAACTGTAAAACTATATAATATCAAATGAACAATAATTCATTTGATATTATTATTATTTAATTTTAGAATTTACTTGAATTTACTAGAAAAACTTGATGGTTATTTTAATCTTTTTCATGTATTTTAGATCACATGTAATATTTCCAACCGATTTTAATTTTGATGTAAAATTATTAGAAGATTACCATGGAACTCTGCAGATGGATAAAATTGCCGTCGACGATCTAACATTAGAAATATTAAATAAAAAGTGAGTCTGTTCTAATAATTATTTTTGTGTTTTAATCTAACGTTTACTTATTTGAAATAACAAGAAAATTTATTGTCAGATTGGAAGATCTTAGATCTAAATTATTACAATGTCAAACCGAACTCAAGGAAAAACACTTGGAACTTGAACAGTACGAATCCGAGACTGCAATTCTGAGGAGCACGGGAGAAACTAAATTGTAATAATATAACAAATGCATTTTGATCAGTATTTATTTCTATCTGCATTGAATATTTTGCTAACGTCTTTGATTTAGACTTCTGGTAAAAAAGCGAGCAATGGACATTCTCAAGAAGTCTATCGGTGAATTAAATTGTCGTCAGAAAAGACTGCAAGAAATGTGTCAGTTGTTAGACGCTCCGTTGTCTATGGTCGGTTCGGCAGGACCCATGCCCGGAATAGAATTAGATGAAAAGGTGACGATTGAAGAACATTCTGTAAGTATCAAATTTTTTATTTTTATCAAATTGACATGTTCATTGATTCATGAAAGATTGAATTTTCCTGATATTACCTGTCTGTCGACGCGGAAATTTAAAATTCTTTTATTTAAAAAATGAATTATTTTATAAAAAAACAAATAAGCCTCTTATTTTTTTCTTTCTAATATGATTGTGAAGGTAAGAACAAATATTGGTAAGTTTTTGATTTATAGTTTTATTTTGAAATATCGTAGATCTGATTGGAGTAATTTTACGACTATTCACTCTCTATGAAATTACTGGCATACAACAAAATAAAACATGTAATTACCAATAACCAGCAAGATATTGGATTTAACTAATCCCAAACAAACATTTTCACTGTTTTCAACAGTCATCCTCAGGTTTCAAAGTAATGGAATGCTTGTTAAAAGAATGCAAATTTTTTAAATTTGCATGTTGTGAAATTTGCGCATGCTCAATGTTGTGTTTAACAAGGTTCTTCAAACTGGATTTCAATTTTAAAAATAATAGGTTTATATAAAATGTAAAATCCAAACTTAACTCGAGATCTATTGTATGTCAAAGCACACCTTCCATGAGGTTGCTAATGAGTCCATTTATTTAAAATTAATTGCTATTCCTCTTAAATGCTTTGGATATTTCAGGTTGGCCAGGTCATCGCAATGCTGTAGTAAACGGGCGTCATAAAATTTAACCTGGGCATCGCTATCAACAGCGAAAGAAGCTAATGTGGTAGTGGTTAGACTTCTCCGAATTGGGTATTTAGGATCCCTGATCTTCATTTTTAGACCACTTGCAGTAGTTCCAATATATTATATAAAATAAAATATTCCAATATATATTGTAAAATAAATAAATCCACCCTTAAAAACTTACTGTGGAATAACCTTCTACATGAGTGGCAAAATACCTGGAATACTTGGCAATCTATAATTAAAAAATTCTTCCCTATCATCACTGACTTATTCCATTACAAATGAATCAAAATTAACCATCTCAGAACCCAGTTTTATACTGACCATGGCAATTTCCTTAATTACTTAAACAGGTTTGCCTCTTACTCAACTAATATCTGTTCTCTCTGTGACATTCAGGATGGGGCCTCTCACTATATTTTTAACTGCCCAATGCTTGAGGCCGAACGGCTACAACTTAAAACCATTATTAACTCAAGGGGCATCCCATGGCCATGCAACCTCAACGATCTGGTTAATGACCGAACTACATACACCTACTTTTCCCAGCTGGTTACCCAGTACTTCAGACTTGTCGATAATCATTCCTCCATAACGCTTCCCTGATCCTCATCGCTTGGACTGCATCCCAACATCTGTATTCTGTACCTGTTCTTACTTACTATCATATACTGTATTATGTATTGGTTTTAATTAATTTGTCTTAATTATATTAATGTAAATTGTCTTGATTTAATACCAATTTTATGTATGAACTTATCATAAGTTATACCTCAAATTTATGCTAACTGTTTAATCAATCTACTTCTAACACTTTGTAATTCATGTACAGTAAAACCTGTCTATGGCGACCACCCACGGTTCCTTCAAAAAGTGGTCTTTTAGACAGGTGGTCGTCCAATACAGTGGTCCTGTAATAACGTATTTCCGTACGTATTTTGCGCACTTTTTAGCCATTTTTACTAAGCAAAACTCGAGGTGAGCAAAAATAAGCGAATTTTTTCAACGATAGGGCTATATTAGTATTGTATTTTATTTTAAAGATTGATACAATACTCGCATTTTCTCAATTATAATGCACATTTTCTTTTTTCCGACTTAATTAATTCGACTCGGTTCTTTTCGTTCTCTCCTCAGTTACGTGTATTACGTCATCAATATACAAGCGTGTCCTATCTCTCCATCACTTTGCTTTTGGTTTTCGTTAGTTTAATCTTATTTTAACTTTAAAAATACTGTATTTTTTAAATATTTAATATTTTCTTAATTAATTAAGTACAATAAGAAAAATTATTAATTAATAATAAAACGATTTTATTATTTTTTCTCATTATACGATTTCATTACAATCGCGGAATCGAAAAAGGAAGTAAAACTGATTTTTGCATTAATGCGTTTATTGTTTTTTGAATATTTTGCCTGCGAAAATTACTTGGATATTATTTTTCTAAAAATATCGTGGAAATAAGGTAGGTTGATACAGAAACTATTTATCGCACGTGTACTGTATATGAGCTTCAAAATAAATAAATAAAAATAGATTTTATCAAACGATGAGATCAGCCGATTAATTGTATCGTGTACAATATTTTACACCCCCAAGGAAAATACTGTAGGTCTAGGGTAAAATAAATTTTGTTTTCCCACAGTTAAACTTCGCCGCTAATTGCTGTTGTGATAACTTTAATACGATCTTCTAACGACAGCACTTTGCATTTCGGACATTTTCCAACAAACTGAAATGAATTTCCTTTGTTGCTAGACTAATTTATTAACACCTGCACCTAATTTCAAGGGTGGGAGAAGTGCCCGGGATGGGTTCGAACGAGAGTTTAGACTAATTCATTATATTAGGAGGTGGAAACGTTGTTGAGATGGGTTCTTACAATAGTTTAGACCAGATACATTCGCGAAAGTGGTCGCTTATTACAGGTGTTGTATGTTGTTTCGGACCAAAAATCGATGCCCGCGGTCGCGTTACACAGGTGGTCGTTTAATACAGGTAACTTATACGAAGACTCTATGGATAAACTATTCCGTGCCAGAAATTTTTGCCCGTTTTGACAGGTGCCCGTCGAATGCAGGTGGTCGCCTAAGCAGTTTTCACTGTATTTGTTTTCGCATTTGTTACTGGTTGTGCTACATGCGGTACCGGTGTTGTACTCCCTTGTACAGCAATAAAAATATTGAAAATATTGATTGAGTTCCAATATATTCATATGGACAGTTGACCCTATGATCATTTAGAGAGATAGTATAGATTCCCAGGATACAATTTCAGTCCAATTAGTCCTTATTGTTTCTAATACTAGAAAAACAGTAGGAGATCTTATGTAAGTGATTCTGTTACTCGTAAAGCAGAATATTTCCTTGTAGATGTTGGCAAGGACCTTATTATAAGTAACAGGAACAAAGGACCTGACCTTCGATTGTAATGTTTCTGTTGCATGCTCCTGGCATACAATAAGAGCATTGATAAGGTGTGCAGAGTATCCATGTTGCCTGGCTACACTTGAAATGTAATCCAGTTCTATTTTCCTACCTTTTGAAACAATGGGTGTAAGCCCTTCTTACAAGGGCCTTAAAAGCAGAGATCTTATAATTAAAGGATCATGTGATTTTACATGGATGAAGAGAGAAGCATACGAGGTCTTACAGAACACCTTTGTTCTCAACTGGTCTTGTTGTAATGTGATGTCTATGTCAAGTTTTGTTGTTCTACCCACAAAGAGAGGCCATAAGTGTTATCATTGAAAGCCTTGATGAATGCAGACAATTTTGGTTTTTCTTCCAAATAATCAACACATCATCAACATATCTCGCATATAACATAATGTTACTGCTAATATCAGGTAAGACATATTGCTCAAGGCACCTGGCCACCAATTGACAAAGCATTTCTGAGATGGGATTACCCATAGGTACTCCTCTTCCCTGGAGGAAAGTATCCTTTTCAAATACAAAAAAGGCTGAGTGACATATAAAGTATGCTAACTCCAAAATGTTGGAAATGTGTTTTGAGAGGTCATGATGATGGGCCATCATAACCAATTCAATGCCCTGGAAACATTGCATTAAGTCTCTCCCAAGTAGATAAGGCAAAGTGTAATTACCCCCATTTGGGAAGTGACTTTTTGGACATGCTGTGTATGTGACTTGCAAATTGTTTGTACAGATTGATTTGTCTGTCTTTCTTCAATTTATGTATTAAGTACTGTGCTTCAGATCTATTTGCAATATAATTTTGTTTAACTAAAGTAAAACTCAGGTTTAATTTTTAATAAGTTTTTTTTAATTGTTAATTGCTTTATAACAATATTGAAAAATATAAAATATTTGATAAAATTTGTTTTCCTAAAAATAAGATTTTATTTGATAGAAAATAAAAGAAAGCAGCACCTCTAGTTTGAATATTATCGGAAAGAAATCGGCCAAGTTATTCGTCGAGAAATTAAAGCAACCATTTCATTCCTTTCATAAAAAATCTGTGAGAATCTTTTTGCTTTTAATGTATTAATTAATAAAATTAATTTTACTGAATAATTTATTAGTAAAAATTCTAAGTAGATATTTCCTTGATCTTTGTGACTTTATATTATGTATATATCTTATATCTTTGTTATAGAATTTCATATAATCATATAACTTATTTGTTAGAGCATTTCATAGAATTTTTAGTTTATATACATAATATAAAGAACAAATTTAGATTTCTGAAAAGACGGTTAAGAAATCTAAATCATAAAATTTAGAAAGACATATCATAAAAAATTCTTTAGACTTGGAAGTATATAGTCTCTCGTATTGTGATAATATTTCATATAATGGTTCGATAAACCTCTGTAGAATGGCAGCAAAGCTCTTCAGACATTTTGAGCCTACACTGAATGTTGTCTTTGGGAAACCAAAGAGTTATAATTGGAATGCTTGGAACGTGCACTTCAAAATTTGAACATATGGAATTTGACGTTTGAATGTGATTGTGTCTTACAAATACAAACATCAAATTTTGAAGTATGTGTTCCAAACATTCCATTTTAGAACTCGTTGGTTTCCCGAAGAAGGCCTTCGGTTTAGGCCAAAAATGTTTGAAGATCCTTGCTGAATTGACAATGAGGTTTATTGACTTATTACATAATTATAAATGTGTGCATTTAAATTATTATGACTCATTAGCAAGAATGTCAACAAATGTTTAAATAATATGTCATTGTTAGAGGTTATTCAAACATTTTTTATTTATTATCATTTTTGACTCTTTCCGTCTTGTAGACACTAAGAAGGATTTCTAATTAAGCTCATCGTGAGTTTAGCCTTGCTCACAATGGGATGGCCAGGTGGCGAGGGATGGGACCGACGTATTTGAGATGGACCACTTCTGAAAAATTCCCAGGTTTTTTGACCCTACTGAATTCATTTTTGGGTTCTCAGAATAGTAAACCAACACCCCGTTTGGCTTTCCAGCCGTCATTATTCAAACGTTTGTCAACATTACTAATAACAAGTCACACTAATTCTGAAGCATCTTTATTTTTTCTTATTAAGATTTTTTCCCATTCAAGCATTTTTTTCTTAATTTTTTATTTTATTTGTGAAGTTGTCCATTAATTAATTACCTTCTGGTATATTTTGTTATGAGATATGAGAAAATTGAAGAAAATTAGTTTTAATGCTTTTGAGATAACAAATTATTATAAAACTGGAAATTTTTGTTCAAAATTGTATAAAATTATAACAGTGCATACTATTAATCATAATCATAACAATCTTAATGACAAACAAGATGCTATTGAACACAATAATTGTTACTTTTAATGTCAAGTTAAAATCGAGAATTGATTTGTCAAATCTATCTTACACCATTTTCTTTCCTTCTATATGAGTTCTTAAAATAATTTTTTTCTGAGAAATTACTGTATTTACTCACGTATAAGATAATCTCGCATATAGGACAAAGTGTGACTTTAAAGATCAAAATAAAGAAAATTAGATTTATTAATACAATTCTAATTTTATTTTGTTTAATCACAAATAAAATATTATCAAATGCTCATAAATGCACACATTGTCCCGCAAAAATTACTGGCATGTTAAACTTTAAGGAAAAATCTTGTAAAATTGACAACATACTTTGTTTGTGTAAAACTGAACAATTGGGAATTTTTTTGCCAGTTCTTAACAGTCGAATGCACTCGGTCGATTACACTTATGAGTTTCTCCGATTTCTGTTTTTCAAATAATGATGTTTTCACATGGGAATAGATTAAAACTTGTATCAAGCCCCCATGCGATTTTGGAGTTTCAATTTGGAATTCAATTCAAAAGTTTCGTTTTTCCTATTGCTATTTATCTTTACTCCTGATAATACACAAGAATGATTCAAATGACCCTGATAAAATAGTTTTGTTTTTAAACACCAGAGGGTGAGCAGTGGTAAAAAATGCAAATATACGGTTCACAAAAATTATTGCAAAATCGCAAAGAATCCTTTTCTCGTGCATATAAGATGACCTAAGTTTTGAAGCAGTGAAAAATGAATAAAAACCTCGTCTTAAACGTGAGTAAATACAGTATGTACTTTCAAAATTAAAATGGTGTGAAAAATTAATTATTTGATTCCCAATGCTTAGTTTTAATTTTATAAGAACTGGACATTTTAGTATCCTTGTTTCCACTTGATTCTTGTGTTGGATTGCCCAATGTTACAATGTTAGATAGTATTTTAATTTGGAAAAGTTAAAACATTACTAAATGATCTGCTAAATTATTTTTCAGGCTGTTTTAGGGCTAGTAAATAATTAAATAAAAATAAATTTGGCTAGGGGTAGGTGGTTATGCAACCATACCTCATGATAAATTTAATAATTAGAAATAATTTGATAATTATTTTATTAATTTTTATTTTAATTTAGAATATTGTGGAAGAAAAGAATTGGTTTGGAATGGGACTCGAACACATAACTCCTGCTTACTGTGCAGATATGTTACCAGCTATACTATCCAGACCTTTGTCTAATCTCTGCTTCCAAACCTATTAATTAATTTAGATACAACCATACTGGTTACTCATGGCACTAGTGAGGACAATTTAGTGTCCATGGTCCTCTATGACAGTGTTTCGCAACCCTTTTCTTCTTGCGGCAACACCAAAATGTTATTTTCCTCAACATGGCACACCAAAATGTTATTTTCCTCAAAAACGTATTATATAATACTATTAATAGAATTACATAATGCCATGAACCTATTATTATTAAACAGATCAACATCTGTGAGCAAATTTATTTTACATTTAATTTCTTAGAATACATAAAATAGCTAAGAAGTACTGGACAATAAAAGTTTAGTAAGTACGATTTTATACATAAAAATGCGTGGCTTGTAATAAAGAATAAACAAACATTGTCTTATTTCATCAGTGCTGTGGCAGAGAATGAAATACAAGCATAAAAAGCACAGCAACTGTGATAAAAATATATAAATAAAACTTGAAATTAATAGAATATGTAAAAGTTTATGTCACACCTTCACCTTTGTGACGGCACACTGGTTGTGGAACACTGCTCTATGACTCTTACTCAACTGGCACTTTAGCCCCAGCATGGTTCTGAAGGGTAAAGATTGGTCAGATTCTGAATAGCGTATCTAACAATAGATCTACATGGTAAGTTGGAGTCGTGGGTTTAAAAACCATTTCGGGCCAATTCTTTTTTCTACAATCTGTATTCTAAATTAAAATTAAAGATTAATTTATTTCTAATTATTAAATTTACCATGAGATGACGGCATAACTGCCTACCTCTAGNTCTAAAATTGCATAAAACCAAAACGAGTTAAAATTAACTTAAAACTGCATAAAAAAGTTTGCAGAAATTAAAAGAAATAGGCTGCTTAATACTGCAACTTGAAATCAGCAAAATTTAAACTCGCTACTTATTATAAAAATGCACAAAACACCGCTAAAATAAATCGTGGGTTTAAAAACCATTTCGGGCCAATTCTTTTTTCTACAATCTGTATTCTAAATTAAAATTAAAGATTAATTTATTTCTAATTATTAAATTTACCATGAGATGACGGCATAACTGCCTACCTCTAGCCAAATTGATTTGTATTTAATTACAGTAGAGCATTGATTATCCGAATATCGATCAATTGAAACATCGGTTAACTGAAAGCATTCCAGTTGGCAAATTTAAATTTCTGCTAGTGCTGTGGCGCTGCAATATTTGGCTATGTCTTGGGCTACTCCAATATTATTTTTGTTAGTGTGCGTGTTTCAGCTGGCAGAAATGGCGTGACCATGAGAGGGTACTTAAGGAAGCGCCAGGATTTGAATGAATTTCAACACAGGATGGGTTAAAATATTTTTTCGTACATAATGGTTATCTGAAAAATCAATTATGTGAACAACCTCAGTTCCAAATTGTTTCGGATAATCGATGCTCTACTGTATTTACTTTCCTTAAAATAGCCCAATGGATAATCCACTGAATTGTTTCACCAGTGACTGTTATCCTAAGAGCAAACAAGACAATTACTTGCAGGCCCTCACCAATGGGGCTGCTTCAAACCAATCTTTTATAAACTCATTATTGTGCTAAGAATATCAAGATTTAAATTTTGGCCATATCTGGGATCCTAGATTGCCGATTTAGTGCAGGCACAGTGCAGAGGTCATGTTAAAAAAATGAATGTGGATACTAGGGAATTACCCCAAAATTCCCCTAACAAAAAATGTTTGAAGCCAACACTGTACTGTACATGGGGCCTCTTGAATCTATAATGCACCGCTGTGTTTCATAATACAAATAAGTCAGATGATTGTTTCTTGTATATTTAACATAACATTTAAATAATTTGCATTAATTTCTAATTTTGTTTTTGTTCTGATAGGTAAGTAAAGATCAAAATGTCAATAATAAAATTCAAATTAGATCAAATTATAAAATGTCAATAAAAAATATTAATTTTAATGATGATCTGTTGATATTTAGCTAAACAAATTTAATTAAAAAATATGAATTATCTTTATTTTTTAGAGTAGCATTGAGATCTTATCCAAACAAAAGACAAATTATAATTCAATAAATATTCCTACTACATCAAACGAGATAAACGTAAGATTTTTTTAAATTGTTATTTTAATGAAAATAATTTTATTCAATATTTTAACAAATTTTATAATTTTTATTTATTTTTTAGTTAGATACGGATTATCTGAAAGGTCTTCAGGATGAAGAATGGTTTCACGGCGTATTGCCTCGTGAAGAGGTGATTCGATTATTAGTGAATGAAGGAGATTTTCTAGTGAGAGAGACATTACGAAATGAAGAAAGGCAGATAGTTTTGTCTGTCTGTTGGCAAGGCCATAAACATTTTATCATTCAAAATACATCAGATGTAAGTTATTTAAAATGTACAATACAAATTCTGTATGGCAAAATATGTTTAGGATGTATTTTTTAGATGGTAAATATATTTAAGTTGTATGTGATAATGTAATTCAATACAAGGGTGATCTTCCAGGAAAACAATTATGGAAAACCATTCCCTATTTAGATGTTAGATATGTAAAGAAAACCAGGGAAATTCTGTGCAGCCGGGCTGTTGGTTGGGTATAAAATGTGGACTAACTAGCAGTGTGTTATGGCTTTGCCACTCAGACACTGGTGGGCTTAAATAGCTTCACAATTTTTACCAACAAAAGATTTTGTTGATCATTTTTTGAGATGATAAAATTCTTTAAAAGATAGGTTATATTTCAGTATGCATCAAACAGCATTGATGAACTGCAATGTACAAAAACATATTTACAGTATTTGGCAATGAATTAATCGGTGCATTGACCAATGCATATTGTACTTGTCAGGCTGCAAATACGGTGAGCTCTAATGAAGCAATAAGGCCACTTCCACGGTTATATTATTAACACCATTTATACAACTTGTCTGTATTAACCCCAAAGTTATTTTGATGAAATAAGAGTGGAAATGCCAGTATAGTTCTGTTTGCTTCCAACATCCTGTTAGGTTATCAAACATTCCAGTAAAAGCTAAAATTTTTAAATACTGTAAGGTCTCTTTTTATGCGGTGGATATGTTCTACAGAAAAGCGCATATAAAAAATTCGCATAAAAAAAGACTTTACTTGCCTTGAAAAAGTAGGGATACGTTCCGTAATTTTCTAAAATTGCATAAAACCAAAACGAGTTAAAATTAACTTAAAACTGCATAAAAAAGTTTGCAGAAATTAAAAGAAATAGGCTGCTTAATACTGCAACTTGAAATCAGCAAAATTTAAACTCGCTACTTATTATAAAAATGCACAAAACACCGCTAAAATAAAATTTAATTTCAAAACAATTACAGTTTATACCTTTCAATGCGAATCTCAGAATGATGTAATAGCGACTTGTCGATGGTATCATGTACAAGGGGAATCCCCGAATTGCAAAAGCTCACTCTAAAAACAAATCACTGACATCTGGATGTGAAGAGTTAATTAAATTTTAAACCTTTAGTTCCTCTCCCGAGTTAACTCGGGCAGGTTACATAGTGTTACATAAAACACGATCCTTAAGGCCATTTTTAAATTTTTTTTTTGAATTTTTGGAATGTTTTTTAAGTCTCCAAATTTTTTAAAAATATTTAAAAATATACGGCCAGCTAGTGTTCACCCTACTTTAAACCCTTGTCCTCCCGCGACGTCTATGAGAATGCCCCGGGAAATCCAACTCCAGCTGTGTTCAAGGTCATCCAGATGTGTAAACAATGACTCATCGGTGTTAAATTTCACAGAAGGGCGAGACAAAGGAAGTTAAACTTTGAAGCTTTTTCTTCAAAATTAACGCATTTCTTTCGTTTTTTTCAGTTTTAAGTATTTTTTATGTTTAATTACATTTATATCAAAAATTGCTAGGAACTAAAGCGATTAAGGTAGATCTAGCTGTCCTTTACATCCATAAACGTTATATGTCAGTGGAACAAATGGAGTGAGCTTTGAGCGTTCCACGATTTTTGGAGACTGTCTATACGCGGGCTTCCTAAACAAGCCTATATGTATGTTTGTCCAAGAAATTTTTGGATGAAATACAAACCGCACAACTTCAAAATTGCATAAAAATAATCCGCATAAAAAGAGACCTTACAGTAGTACACAAGAAATTTTTCCATATTTTAAAAATGTAGTTAATACTTGACTGTACTACTGCTAATAAGATAATGAAATTCAGAATTTTGTAATGAAATTTCAATTTGATATTTTGAATACAGCAATATACTATTTGATTAAAAATAATGGTTGAATATGAATTTTCAAATCATTTTTTGGATACTGTTTGATATAGTTATTAAAAATTTGAGAGAAAAAATGTAATTTTTAAAAAAGAAATGATCAGTTTTGGATTATGCATCATTGTAAAGGTTTAACCGGAGTAAACCATGATCTATTGTGGGGGGGATTTTCAGAAAACATTGTTCCATGGCTGCACATGTATGAAAATGTGATGAGGATCTCTTGCAATATTATCCACTTTCATTTGTGTTAAACACAAATTAAACTTAGATTTTATTATCTGAGACAAGTTTCAGTCGAATCTCCAAAATGGCATTTTTGACTAAAAATCTGTCTAAAATAACATTTGTCATGGTCTCAGTTTACTCTGAATAAGTATATTTTCATTCGATTACCCTCTGTCCTGCAATAATGTTTCACTTTATTGATCTTGTATAATGATTTCGAGCTTGTAATACTACAAACAAGAAAAAATTTAATGTATTCTACTCTGGATCAGCCATGTTTACTTATTAAAATTTGCTTTTGAATGATCAATTTATTTTTATCTTACACATGATGTTGATTGAATATATAAGTTTATTTTCCTTTTAACAAACAAAGAATTCTATTAAAAATCAAGCAGTATTTAAAGAAAAGTTCATCTTTGTACAAGTATGTTGGTATTATGTACTGTACTTTGTTGTTTATATAGAAGATTTAACATATTAATACTGGAAAAATACTAAGTTAATTTTTGTCTTCATTTAATCTAATAATAAAAGATTTACTATTGGATTAAATTAGTTTTACATAATTTGCTATATTAATTGAAATAAATCTGCATTTAGGGAAAATATAGGTTTGAAGGTCCTGCATTTTCAACGGTTCAAGAATTAATAATGTTTCAGCTTCACTCTAACACTCCCGTAACGAATCGATCCGGAGCAATGATAAAAAACTCGGTGTTGCGAGAACAGTGGCAACTAAATAATGAGGACGTGGAGCTAGTTGAGAAGATCGGAAGGGTGATTATAATTATGTATTGTGTAATCGATGCAGCTTAATTGGGATGAATGGTAAATTATTAAATTTTTTAGCTTTTTTCAGTAGAAATTGTTTGGATTTTTTTGCCAAACTGTCATGCTACAAGCATACTATAGCCAATTTGACTAATGTTACTTTTCCAATAAATTTGCCTATTTATCCTGATTAATCAGTACATTACTGTAATTTGATGATATTAATCCTCATAAATCATTAAATTGCAGGGAAATTTTGGAGACGTTTATAAAGGCTTCATCCGTAAAACAAAAGTTCCAGTCGCGATTAAGACGTGCAGGATTAATCTGCCAGACGAGCAGAAGAAAAGGTTTCTTCAAGAAGGTCGAATTCTCAGGCAGTATGACCATCCAAACATCGTCAAACTTATAGGGATCTGCGTCCAAAAGCAACCAATTATGATAGTCATGGAATTAGTACCGGGTAAGACATTTTTAAGTGAATTGACATATTAACGTCACATAAATAAACTTTCTGATTACTTCAGGAGGTTCGTTATTAAATTATTTAAGGAAAAATGGGCCTAAAATATCTTTGCCAGAACAGCTGAGAATGTGTTTGGATTCGGCTTTAGGGATGGAATATTTGGAGAGTAAAAATTGTATTCACAGGTGAGTATGGCCAATTTGAAGATTAATACATAAAAATTATTTAATATCTATATATTTAGAAAATAGCAATCGAAATGTGATTGTGAAGCTTAAAATTTTCATTAATAAAATATTTTCATGATAGAAATGCATAATTTCATCATATTTATGTTTAATTATAAAGTTGATTTTAAAAAATTTTGTTTAGAGATTTGGCAGCCAGAAACTGTTTGGTCGGAAAAAATAATATGGTGAAGATATCTGATTTTGGAATGTCTCGCGAAGAAGAAGAATACACAGTTTCGGACGGGATGAAGCAAATTCCGATTAAGTGGACTGCACCAGAAGCCCTTAATTATGGTATTCTTTAAAATTAATATTATTTGTTATAGATTTTCTTGAANGTGATTATGCACAATACAAGTTTCATTTACGAAATATACATTGAAGATTATTATTAAAGAGTTTTGTTGCCTCTAAAATTTGTTATATAATAAATTAGTAATTTTAAGTTTAGAAAACATTAAAATCTTGATCTTTTAGTAGTAAAGATCAAGATTAAAATGTATTTTGGGGGTAATTTTCTGTTTTTGGTACTGCAGTTCTTTATACTGCCAGATTGCAATACCTGAACAATATTACATCAGATCGGATGGTTCAGGCATGTATTTTGATGGATATTGTTTCCTTCAGTTCCACTTATCTCTGGCTCGTGATTAACGGAGTTAAACATCACAAGGAGCAGTATAATGCTTGTTTGTATTGGCTCCCGATTAACAAATCGGTCTAAGTTATCCGCACACACATTTTTGCTTCTCAAACATAAATTGAAACCTAATTATATGTTCAAATTCTGCTTTTGATGCTTTTGTCATATTGAAATTAAATTAATAAATTTTTATTAAATGTAAAAGCTAGATGGATACTACCTGTAGTTTAAATTTGTAGCTTTAGATAGTATAATTAATATAATTCTAGATAGAAAATTTTCAGCATTTATTTGAGACACTATAGGATCTGTTCAGGCTGTGATATGGATCCTTTGATATGTAAACTAATAGTCTGCTTTAGACAAAAATGGATAAATGTTGTAATGAACATTACTAATTTTAATAAAACTTGTGTAGATATTTAGATTATTGTATTTATTCTAATAAACAGCAGAGCTACACGATAAAATTAGACGGTGCCCCGTAACGGTAAGCAGATTTCTATAGGCGTGAGATAAGGCTTATTGTAGACTGAAAAATCAAATGTTTTGTGTTATTGCTCTTACCATATGTTGAAATAAAGCACATGCGTGTCGCGTGTTTATGTTGTTCGAGTAATAGTAAAATGGGAAAAATTACCAGATTTATTCCATTATAGTTGCACTTAATTCCTAAAGAATAGAAATAACAGTGAATCTACAAGATGAAAAAAGTTACAGACAGCATGAGGTTTATTAGAATAAATACAGTATTTAGAATTTTTGTAAATATTTAGACATAATTTTGCATATGAGCAAAGAATTCATAAAGCAATTGTAACGAGATGTTACATTTTAGGAAGATATACATCTCTCTGCGACGTTTGGAGTTATGGAGTACTGTTATGGGAAGTATTTTCATTTGGCAGTACTCCCTACAGCGGTATGACTAACAACAAAGCCCGAGAATTAATCGATTCTGGTAAGTCTACTTTATATATTTAATTACTCTCAAGGCAATTTCCGGTAACTCTTTTGCATTCCTAATATCGAAGGTTATCGGTTGCCTTCACCCGAGAACACTCCAGAGTGCATCTACGAGTTGATGTTACGTTGCTGGGAGTACGATCCGGAGAGAAGACCACACTTTCAAGAAATACGTGAAATTCTTCAGAATATTTCTGTTTCTTACAAATGAGTCAGTCAGCTATTGAAATAAAAGGTTTTTTTTTGTAAATGAAGTGTGATGGCATTTGTAATAGACAGTTTTTATGGTTAATGTGAAGCTCTTAACTAAACATTGCTCTGTACATTGTAGTCATTTTGGAGTTTTAATAATTTGAATGTTTCGATTTTATTATCATTGTAAAAATTGATTTTTCTCTTGTTAATACTAAAGATTTGTCAGAAAATTATTTTAATTATGTGAGCAAACAAACTTTTGTATTCTGGAGAGATTTTTTTTTGTTTGTTCTTTAGAAACTGTAATTTGATTTTTCTCCTTACATATTTTTTTATTTCCTACACCAGCACCTAATATTACACAGACAAATTGGCTTATCTAAAACTCACTTTAAAATAATTTTGTAAGTTTTTCTGATGCAAATGCAGATTAAAAATTGTAAAAATTTTTCTTATTCTTAATGCATAAAATATCTTAAGATTTTCTTTATACAAAAATCTAGGTGCAATAATCAAAAGAATAATTTATTTTTATAGTGTACGTCTTATAAGAATCGTACCAGTTATCGCTTTCAAACATAGAAATATCAAATCGTTTATCTTGTTGGCGATAAGTTTCGAGTGGTTTGTTTGCTTTAATTAAAGGGAATGTTTCTAAGACGACGAGAACGGTCGCGTCGTCTAAATGATAATTCTTTCACATTTGCTGGTCGATACTGTGAAAGATTACTTTTGTGTATTCAGCCAATTTTAAAACAATTTTACATTTTAATTTTAATGTAAAATGAAATCGATACTTATGTAGAATAATCAGAAAATAAAATTGTAATATAAAATTTGTGATATTATTATTATATTAGTTTTTAATCTATAAACATTGAAGTTGCCATACGTCTACATCCTTGACGTTTTGAAATTAACACAATAGATAAGATGTGTTTATTTTATCCAATATACAGTNTATAAAGAGTCTCTGATAGTTTTTTTTTCATTTGTTTTAAACAGCCCATGTAATGCCTTTTAGCGAAACGTTCAATGTAACTAGAGGAATCAAACAGTTTATCTCAACAAGATGTACCTGCTAAAGCAAGAGGATCTCTTGCTTCAGACTGGAACATTGTCTGAAAATTATTGTCGGGGAGATGGAATATTAATAGGTATTAATCTAAATTACATGCTTTTCACATATAATAATAATTCATTCTTGTCAGGTAAGTATGCTGATATTTCTGATATGTTTTTGTTTATGATCTCAAGGAAGTAAGGAAAATTGTCTGGAGAGAATGCAGACGACTGCAATTATAATTACAAAACAAACTCACTTAAAATTGCACAACCATGACGATAGAAGCTTTAAAAATTACATTTATTGACAAAATGTAGGAATAAACGGGAGACTGTTTTTATATCTACGCTAGACAGTTCGTCCTTCCCATTTCTTTATCGCACAGCACGTGTCGTCGGAAAGGACAATAAAGTATTCAATTTCGATCTCGAAGCTGCCAGAGTGCACCAAAGAACAAATTCTCTTTTACAAAAGATGTCTAGTAACTTTTCAACCTGTCTGAAAGCTGCAAACTCATCATACAGTTCTGTAGCTCTGGGATGTATTTTACATTGCCTTAAAGAATATTTTGGCTGTTATCATCTGATAATTAGTCATCAGTGGCATACTACAAATTATTGGGATCTTCCACTAATTAATTTTGAAGTTTTTGCTGAATATAAGCCTGTACTTTGGCAATTTTTGCTATCATCATCATTCTGATAAGGAACAAAATTGATATTCTAAAAATTATCATTAAACACGGGTTTAATGATAATTTGATAACGGGTTTATCAAGTTTTATCCTTATTTTAATAGTCGAAATTGAAGATAAAAATGATAGTGAAGCTAGAATGAAACTCGAGTAGAATATATTTTTAAAAATATCTTATTACATATCGTGATTATGCACAATACAAGTTTCATTTACGAAATATAACGTCACGAAACTATTACATGCGATGAAATTGCAAGAAAACTTAACATTCCACATTTCACGTGACAGGTAACCGCTTCCGCCATTTTGTTTACATCACACGTTTTACGTAATCTCGACACGTCTGCACAAAAATTAACACGTAATCGTTAAGTATTATTATTATTACTAATCGAGGTTAATAAGGCATAAAAAAATCTTCGTTTTTTTATTAAGCAATTTAGATAAATATTAAAAAAAATTTAATAGTAATAATTTCGTAACGACTACTTTCTACCGCTAGGGAACGCTTATTGACGTCAGAGGTGACGTCGTTTGTTCAACCGTTCCGTTGGGACGGGATGAGTTTATTAAGTTTACTTAATTTACATAATACAAAATATAAAGCAAGTTTAGTTAAGATGCCCGCTATAAGTAGTGTTATGCCTACTATGGAGTACGTATTCAGTTTATTACTTTTAAAATAATTACAATTTTTAAAGTAGTAATTTGTATGAAAGTTAGGCTTACCTTAAGCCTAAATAAACAAAAATGGTGAATTTTTAATTGAAATGACGATAATTCCTCTAATTTAATTAAATATTTTTGCTATTACGGGCTTAATTTACTTACATTTAGCATTTGTTTACGTACTTTATGCTGAAATTATTAATTTGCATTTTTATTATAAAGTTTGCTTATATGTGTATGTATATATGTGATACGTCAATGTAAATGTGTGTTAATTTCCTCATTTACTTGAATTATGATGCAGATTTCTACGCCGTTTGATTCCGGTGGGTCTTGGTTTTCTTGCCTTGTTGCTCGGTAGATAACGAAAGTACGCAGTTGTCTTGTTAATGTGTAGAGTTATTGGCCGGGTTGTGCTCTTCGGGAGAGGTCTCCGAGCGAGTGTTTTGCAAGTTTGCCGAGAACTGGCTGCGTCGTCTGTTGTGCTCGATACCGAAGCCAGATTTTGTTGTGTGAATTGCGGAGTGGATGCAAACTGCCGGTTCGTCTCCTTTTGGCCAGTGTTTTGATTGGTTCGTTGGGAGTTTAGAATATTTCTGTTTTTTCAAAACAGTAAAACGTGGACTGTTTCGGGAGCGGAGTGAAGGTGTAAAGCCGATTAGTGATGATGTCGTTACTGCTAATTGGCTTTACGTCTTTGCTCCGCTCGTCAAATAGTCTGTGTTTTACTTTCTTGTGAAAAAATAGAAATATCCTTTTAGGTGGGTAAACAGCACGTGTTTAACTACCAAATAAATGTTAGTATAAAGTATAATGTGGCTTGTATGTAGCAAGGTTCATTTTAGTTTGTGTCGTGTATTATGATGCAAACAGTGTTTCATTTTGATTAGTGTTTGGTTTGTTTGTATGATGGTGTAAACCAAGCTTAAGCTATTGTACTCTGTAACAAAGCAAATTAATATTGCCAATTAGCTCTGCGGGCTGAGTTATGTTTGTAAACAAACAAAATACAGTAAAACTTCTCTACTCTAAAGCTCTAAGGGGCAGGAAAAATCTTTGAGTTGAAGATGATTTCAGTCAGAGAACAATATAGTAAAAAATGCTGATTTTGAATAAATTTGTACTTTTACCTCTCTTGCATTATATAAAGAGTCTCTGATAGTTTTTTTTTCATTTGTTTTAAACAGCCCATGTAATGCCTTTTAGCGAAACGTTCAATGTAACTAGAGGAATCAAACAGTTNTAAAACTTCTCTACTCTAAAGCTCTAAGGGGCAGGAAAAATCTTTGAGTTGAAGATGATTTCAGTCAGAGAACAATATAGTAAAAAATGCTGATTCTGAATAAATTTGTATTTTTACTCTCTTGCATTATATAAAGTCTCTCTGATAGTTTTTTTTTATTTGTTTTAAACAGCCCGTGAATTGCCTTTTAGCGAAACATTCAATGTAACTAATGGAATCAAACGCTATCTCAACAAGATGTACCTGCTAAAGTAAGAGGATCTCTTGCTTCAGACTGGAACATTATCTGAAAATTATTGTCGGGGAGTAGATACAACTAGCTGTCTGAAAATTTCATGAAAGTCTTATAATTAGGATCACTTTGGATAGAATAAATATTAAAATTTGAGTCAGGGAAGTTGAAGGTAACATAAATCAGTGCCGGGGACCACGAAAAACTTCAACTTGGAGAAAATTAGAGTTAAGAAATTCAAATTGGAGACATTAAATCCCTATGCTGTTCTGTTTAGACCTATGAGTGCTTCATTTTCCTTGAGTTACAGACATTTCAGTAGAAAAGTTTTACTGTACTTATTTGCTATCCAAGTCAAACTTGTGCTTGTTATGGCTTATGTTTGTAGATTTAAAAAAAACTGATTAAATAGCAGATTGGAGGAAATGTGATTAAGCAGTTGTTGCGATTGCACAATATATCGTTTAGATTGCAAGATTAAAATTAAATTCAAACAAAATTGTGAAAAGTTAATTGCAAAATAAAGTTGTTTACATAACAGTTGAGTTCATAGTGCAGTAATAAAATGATTTGAGGAAGTGGCATGGACTTAATATCCTTTGTCGGGGAAAAGTGACTTATTACACGTAGCTCGAAAGCAGGTGAGCTGCAAAATTGAGATCTATGGTTTAGGTTTTACAGTTATAAACAAGGCTGTGGAGTTGTGTAAAAATCTATCGATTCCGACCAGGGCTGGACTTGTTAACAAAATAGGCCCAGGAATTCTGATGTCATCACATGACCTCAGAACAAAAGCTTCAATATATAGAGTTCTAATAAAGATAGAACGTAGAAACTTTTATTCCAAGACAAAAAAATCCTCTAAGTAATGACAGTCAATATATCAGTGGCATGCGGTGACATTTGATGATAGGGAAGCTGTGTTTTCATAAAAATTTTAAACAAATACTGGAAATGACAAAAATGAACAGTTTGTTTGTTTTAATTCTAAAATTGATAATTGACACAAAACAAAGATATAAGAACTTGTTTTTATTTTTTTTTTTTATAAACACTCTATTCAGCAATTTTTTTCCACAAAGTTGTTAATTAATTTATCATAAAAATTTCTTCTTGTCAAAGCATCAAAGTATTTAAAAGCTCTTTTTGTATTGAATACAACACTAGTCATGACAATCTTTCCTCTGACTGAGTGTTCATTGCCAATGTATGAATTCACTTTGTGNGTAAGGGCACAAAGTGTGAGATTCATAGAAAAGTTTTCCTAAGAATATTTCCAATTTTTTTCTCACACAAGAGAAAATGGGTTGGGGCGTTGGGTATAATTTTATGGAACAAAGGGGGCGGTGGATTGAAAAAGTTTGAGAATCACTGGTTTAGACCTACTGAGTGCTTCATTTTCCTTGAATTACAGACATTTCAGTAGAAAAGTTTTACTGTACTTATTTGCTATCCAAGTCAAACTTGTGCTTGTTATGGCTTATGTTTGTAGATTTTAAAAAACTGATTAAATAGCAGATTGGAGGAAATGTGATTAAGCAGTTGTTGCGATTGCACAATATATCGTTTAGATTGCAAGATTAAAATTAAATTCAAACAAAATTGTGAAAAGTTAATTGCAAAATAAAGTTGTTTACATAACAGTTGAGTTCATTGTGCAGTAATAAAATGATTTGAGGAAGTGGCATGGACATAATATCCTCTGTCGGGGAAAAGTGACTTATTACACGTAGCTCGAAAGCAGGTGAGCTGCAAAATTGAGATCTATGGTTTAGGTTTTACAGTTATAAACAAGGCTGTAGAGTCGTGTAAAAATCTACCAATTCCAACCAGGGGCGGACTTGTTAACAAAATAGGCCCAGGAATTCTGATGTCATCACGTGACCTCACAACAAAAGCTTCAATATATAGAGTTCTAATAAAGATAG